TTATAAAGAAGTGTGACTTTATAAAATATACCTCCATATAAGCACAAATTATATTAAAATTATAAATGTAATTTAATAGAAGTAAGTATATAATATGCATTATATTCTTCTATGTACGTACATACCTTAAGTATTACTGTATTCTTTTATGTATATCTCTTTAACACTATTAATTGTTTAAAAAAATAAAATCAAAGAATATAGTTTTTATTTTTGCTAAACTATCAAACCTTCTTAATCAAGGTATGAGAACATAGATCAAGATTTGTATACCGCATAATCATGTGGATTTGATAAAAGAGATCTACATTTTTCTATGTAATCATTTGAATGTTAACTACACTAATTATTTCTTGTTTCTTAGATACGTCGGGGTTCCAGATAAGCTGATTATGTCTAGAACAGTTTTTATGAACGATATTATTTAGCTAACATTAATAAAATCTGCATACCCTAACACTAACTCTAACTACAATATTGCCTATAAGAACTTTTTGTAGATTTCAGTATTTCATTTTATTTGTGATGTAAGGTTTTCTCGCTTAAATTTAACACTTTATTCTATTCAATAGATTCATTATTTGGTGATTAGCGTGAAAACGTTAAATTTGATTAAATTGTTTTATTGAAGTAAACTTTTGTACTTTTTATATGAATTCATATTTTAGTATTTATACTAAAACTGGTCAACTTTTTTATTACCGGGAATGGATGTATTTTAACACACCGAATATTTTTATTCCTGAATTGCAAAAAAAAAAAAAAAACTATGAACTTTCTCCTTAATGCTATAAAATGTTTATATGGGTATATATATATATCTATATAAAAATTTCATGTCAATTCGACATTATCATTATTTAATGGTGTAAAAAAATCACTAATAGATGTTTGACGCTTAGATTTAATATATTCACGATTTACTAAGATCAAGTATTTTTGAAAAATATCTTCAGATTTGTAATCGGCATTTGTTGTTCAAAAAAACTAATAAACTTATTTAAGCTTATTAGCCCTTCTGAAATAGGAATTTCTGGTTGTTCCTCATCCAAGTCATCAGGATCTCTATTTTCATACTAATTTGCTTTATTCAAAACAATTTCTATAATTTCTAAATCTTCAAGCTTCTCCTCAGTTATGATATGCAAATCATTAAGATTTAAGTAAGTGTTTAGTTGGTTTCTCATTTCTGGTTCTGGATCTTGGAAGGTTAAATCTATCACCAGCATGTTGATATCCTGTTCTTGCTATTCTAACAATGTATCCTGACTATTAGTAGCGACTTCTATTTCTTCACGGGAAACTGATACCAGAATACCGGTCTTCCTCCAACAATCGACAATTGTTGAATTTTCGATATCATCCCAACATTCAGAGACGTAGTAAATGGCATCCTTAATATTTAACTTTTTTCTAATCAAAATCGCAATAATATTAGTATTAAAAATTTTATTATAAGAGGCTATGCAAATTTAATTAATTGGTTTTCGTAGCCCGGCTAGGACAAGATTTTTAAAAAATGGTTTATATGCATTAACTACTGGGGATGTTTTTAAATTTTTTTTTTTTTTAAAAAAAAAACCAACTAGCTGGGTCTATTTAAAATTTCATGTTATGAAACCAAGATATTAAAATTTGTATGACCTAATTAAAACATAATTCTTAACTTTTTTAAATCTTCATTGTTTTCAATTTGTATTAGTATATAACGGATATACTTTTGTTTATATTTAGATTTAAAGCTTTTGATAATCTCTGCGTCCATAAGTTGAAGGTAAGCAGTGGTGTTTGGGGATAAAAATTCAAGCCTAATGTTAGTTAATTTTACATTTGAATAGTCAGAAATAGTATGTGGTTGGCCATAACCACTACCATAATAGCCCTTACTACCACCAGTAATGTGTTTACTACAATTATCATGACTATTGCTTGTACTTTGATTAGTTCTAGTTAATCTTGGCCGACCTCGACCTTGTCAATTTGCACGTAGAGCAGGCATCACTTCAGGTTCTAAATTATCATCAGATACTTCTTTATTTAAATCTGAATTTGATTCATTTGATTTATTTGATTTATGTGATTCATGTGATTCAGAAATATTTGATTGGTCATGAAAATGTGATGAGGTATTATCGACTAATAAAAGTATTTGACAATTTTGAATACGAAATTTCTGATTCAAATTTTTTAACCATTTAGAAAATATATCGTTTCGCATCCATGTTTGAGAATTTGCACAGTAGATAACAGGTAAGGAATCATAATTAACACGAAAAAGTGCACAAGGAAAAATTGAAGACCCAATTACTAATAGGTTTAATTTTTTTGTTCCAGTTGCATTACATGCTAGCATGATAGAAATCCGTGAACGATCCTACACAAAAAATTAAATATTTAAAATAATTAGACCAGAAAAATTAATTATTGGTTTTCATAATCAGACTGGTGGGAAACGAGGCATAGATGTTTGGACATTTGCCGTATAGCATGTTTGTTACTAAAAAATTTGGGTTTGGGTCAAAACCCCGAAGGTCAAAATCCTGAACCTTAATTATTACTTTGTGTGATATCAGTTCAAGCATAGCCTATGATTAGTCATCATGATGACTAATTATAAGGTTTGAACTGACATCACACGATGTGATAATTAAGGTTCAGGATTTTGACCTTCAGGATTTTGATCCAAACCAAAAAAATTTGCATGTGTAAGCATTAACTCATGAAAATCTTAAGGGCATGCTTCTAATTTAAAAAACTAAAGGCGTGTTCAAGAAGCATGCCTTTAAGCTAAAGCCATGCCTTGAACTCTACTGTCTGGTAAAATTCTAAATTTTTTTTTTAAAAAAAAAAAAAAAAGCCGGCCAGGTTTATTTAATATTTTATATTATAAAAACTGAGAAATTAAATTCACATACTCTTATAATTTAATTATAAGTTTAATAACTAGCCTTTTTAAATCTAGGCCTTGATTGAGATGCAAGTGTTTGGTCTAGCACCATATGGTAAAAGAGCCCTGTCTCATCTGCATTGAATACATTATCTAATATATATTTTTCAATCAATTCATGCAATTTTACTCTGTATTCTGGAAGCGAAGATAAGGATGCGCTATTTGCTTCCCTGTGTAATCGAAAATTTCTAAGATTATTGCACCATTTAAATTTATGAATCTATCTGTTCGAAAATTTTAGAGCATCATCACCAAGGTTTAAAGCTTTTGCAAAATCAGCTGCCTTTTCTTTAATCATCAATTCCGTCAGAATTATTTTACTATTATTAGTTTGCTCGATCCAAAGTTTTATTGATTGGTCTAATAGAGGGTATTTTACTTGTTTATATCGAAAAATTGTAGAGCTTAATTGGTTTTTTGTAACTGCTAACCATTTTGATTTATTTTTTAATATTTTAGAAATAGTAGTCTGATCTAAATTTAACTTGAAATTTTGAGAATTGAAATAGTTCATGATATCTATTTGTTTTTTGTTAGGATAATTTTGATCATATTCACATATTTCTCGTTTTAATTGTTTACTAACAGCTGTTCTTGGTCTTTTTTGTGGTAAATTTTGGAAATTTTGCATAATGACATGGATAAAACGAAATATTTACTCTCGAGGATTTATAAAATTAATTCTTTTATATTTATTGAATCTACTAATATTTATAATAGACAACTACAATTATAGGTTTTCAAAAAATACAGATGACGCCTAGTGAAACAGGAACAACAATTTTAAATTTTTACCTTTTTTAAATTATTTATTGTTATTTTAGTTTGTTTTACAACTATTTATTCAAAAAAGTAACATTATTAATATTAATTTACAAACATTCCTGGTCGCCAACAAACTTTAATTTGGTAAATATTGCGATTGATACAGAAATGATTTGGATTATAACTAATAACTGGATTTCAAATTGTATTTTAATAATAATTTGAATTTACACGATAGTTCATAGTTTGGATAAATCAAACAATCGATGTTGAAATAATTTAGGCCTCATATAGGTTTGTATATATACCATTGGTTATTTTTTTCTTTTAATTTTTTTTTTTTGCTTTTTATACGAACTACTCAAGCTATAAGAATTGGTTTTAGTAATTAAAATAAGTATAGCCAAGAGGAATCCTATAAGTCAAATGTAAAATTTCACCATATCTGATTTTTGAAATTATGAAATTTAATCACTGTAAGATTGATGTTCTGATCAGGGATAACAATGGTTAGCAATTTTTGGCTAGCTTGTTAGTAGCAGTTGCTGTTCCTAGTTCTGATTATCTTAAATACAATCTAATGTAAGTATTATCGAATACTGATTATAGCCTACATATAATTTTCTGAGTTTAAGTTCAGTACATTGAAATTTAAATTTTTTACTTACAAGTTTTCTTTGACAATACTTAAATAGGTAATTCTTCAGATGACAACTTGCAGGTAAATTTAATTTAGGTATTGATATTTAATGCCAAATGATGCTATGGAAAAATGAATCCTGTTAGACAAAAACTAAGCATGACTTTCATCATTTTTTTTTAATCATGTAACTGCCCGAGATTTATAGCAGCAATTCATGAAATCAATTTTCAAAAAAAAAGTTTTTTTTTTATTTATTTAAAGTAATGGGAAGTAAGAAAACCCGGATCTGTCTTACTTTATCAACAATTAGTTTACCGATAGCTTATTTAGCCAACATTTTGTCAAGTAACAATTCATTTAATTAATTGCTATCCTTAACCCTATTGATATCGACTAAATAAACTTTTAGTAAAATAGCTATTGCAAACAGGAACTCAGACGATTGGGTTAAGATCTGCATATCATGTAATAACTTTAATTCTTAACCTTGTTGATTCGATATTTTAAAAATTTCCATTTTTATATTTAAAAATTTTTTTCATGTGATTAATAATAATGTGCCCAATTTAGATCATGATTCATAGAGAGCTATTGGCTAAATTTTAATTAAACATGTTTATATCGCCTAATTTAGATCATGATTCAGTTATCAGCTAAATTTTAATTAAAAATTAGCAGCTTAAAAAAAATTGAATCATTATAAAAAATGTGGGTCATGTGGGTAGAGCCTCCTGCTACAATTATAGCAAATGAATCAGTACTGGATATATATATAGTGCTATCGCTACGTACGTATGTACTTAAGTTTAAAAACTTCGATCTTCTGTATCACATTTGCATATTATGCTAGTGGCGCTACCCATATGATCTATATTTTTTATTGCCGCCTTGGTTAATTCTAAAAAATTAATAATGTATTAAAACTAGATACTCCAATACCAGGTACTGTTTGCTATATGTAGAATTACTATTATTTACCAATTGTTGTTAGGTATTGTACGTATACTTAATTGTAATTGTTTGGAAGGAATTTTATTATTAAAAATATTTATTAGTAGAAATATTTATGTAATAGTGATTATAAATTTATTGTGATTTTATAAAAGGTTATTTTATAATAATAAAATAGTAACCTAAATAGATGTGATTATATAGAGTTTGTAACTATATAGGAGGTGATTATATGGAAGGACGACAGTACTACCTCTAAAATCACCATTATTATAATAAAAATTTTTTATAGTTTCCTTACTAATCTTTTTTATCCCAAGACTACTAATCTCAACAGACACCATATTACACATATCGTCTAAAGAATAATTATTGTCTATCATAATCTTATCAAAAAGAATTTTAAAGTGGTTTCTTGTTGTTGAGGTAATATCGGAAAAAGATAATTGACTTGAGCCACTAGAAGAACCCAGAGAAGAACCAGAAGATCTTTGAGAAAATTTGGATGTAGATACGGATGGGCCAGCAAATTGTTCAGATATTAATGGTGCCACAGAACCCGTCTCAGTTATTTGGTCCAACTGGTCATGAAGGGATTCATAATTGGTGGTGATTTCATTAACCATTTCAATTACAGTATTTACCATTGTCAGAATTTTTTGTCCCTCGACAACAAATGTAGCATCCTGTGTTGTAAGATCAGCAGTTAATCTTTTTATATATGCATTAAATTCTGTGGTAAGTTGTTGTTTGACGACATACATGGCGAAGCACGTGGCAACAGAAATTAGATGGACAGGAATTTTCTTAGCAAACATCAACAGGCACACAAAGGCCAAAAATGGGACAACTTCTAAAACATTAACCAAAAACATATCTATAATAGAAAAAAAGATTATTAGTATAGATATATGAGCATGGATAATAACCCAGCAAATATGCAACTCAAAATCAACCTTAATTCGTATGAAACAGGTGAAACTAGTAGAGTTTATTTTGTTGCTCTTAGCGAGATTACTATGCTAAAAAATATTATTATTTTAGATATAAGATGTGAAAGCTTATTAAATAGTTTATTTTTACAGATATTACTAATAAGAGTGTAGAAGGAATAACGAAAGATTTTTGGATCTTTTTTATACAAGATTTCACGACTTAGAATCTGATTCATTGCCTCTGTTAGTAAAGGCCAGAACATACTAGAAAAAAATATTAATTACGTTATTATCGCGTTATTATTGATTTATTACCAAAAACATGATATAAATTCTGATTTTAAGAATGAAGACCTAGATCTAGAGACTTAACAATACATGGTCTGGGTAATGCTGAGTAAGATAAGTAATATTTATTAAAACTAGTATATCTGATGAATATTTACAATTATAATGATAACTATCATATACAATTAATAACTAACTTCTGAAATAATATTAGGGTGATATACGATCTTATTTAGAATTTGACTTTCGTAATGCTACTCAATTTTTGGTTAGACATTGGATATAATTTTACTATTCCAAGTATATTTAACAGTAAAGTTATGTATAATCGATTATTGACAAATTTATTCTATTTTATTAGTAGAAGTAGCAAGACTAACATATCATTCTTTATAATATAAAAACTTCTATAGCAACTTCAATATATAGGCCAAGTATTGCAGAGCAAGCTATTAGGAGATTTTCTGAATCATAACCCAAATGGTCTACTACATATATGCTACTGAGAATATGCTAGAAAGTTTGAGCAAAAACATGATAAGTTCAGGTATTATTTTATGGTAATCGATTGATTCATCCAAGACATGATGATTTAATAAATTGTGGCCTCAGACTAAGATTTGTTCATATGTTGAACCTTGTCTGATATTACACAAAAAATTTGATTTATCGTTATATATTAATTACATGAATCTAATATAGTATTATTTATTTCGTCGATATATGAAGATCTAGAAGCGGGTATCAAAAAAGATATACATAGGACAGTTATTTTTACGATTCCTCGGCAAGATCTCAATAACACACAAGATCCAAATAACCGAATTACACTCTCCCAACTGAAAAAAAGTCAAACTAAGATACCAGAAAGATCTTGTAATAAGAGGCAGGAAAACATAGATAAGTAATTATTTAATATAGGCTAGTACATTTGTGTTAATCTTTTTTATTATGTTATGTTGTTAAAAATTGCTAATTATAATCGCTACTTCTTTACAGATTTATCGTATGCCAGACATGGGTTGAAAGCAGAGGACCCATTACCCGATAGGATATAATTCAATACTGATATAGTGAAAATAATTATATAGATTTAGCAGTTTTAAAATGTAAATATATCAAATGATCACTTGTTCTCATTAATTACCTTGGGTGTGGGAGCTAGGGTTTCAGGTTCAGGTTCAGGATCTGAGTCAAGGTTAGAATCAGAAGTATCACCCTTGGCATAATATATTCCAGAATTATGACGATCTATCTTATGCCTCATTGCAACTCTGCTAAAGAATTTGAGATGTTGTAAAGTTGGATTTTGACTATGATAAACTCTAGAAGCATGTTTATCTCCAATTTTTCTTAATCTTTTGGCTGTAATACTATATGATTTTAAAAATTTACTAAATACTCCTGTACTGCATTTTCCATTAATACTATAGACAGGATTGCATAACTTTCCAGTTGCTATTGCATCTTGGATCCAGATAAGCAATTCTTTCGCACGTTCTGGATTCTTTTCTATGGATAGAAATTGCTGAGGTTCAGGATTATTTTTTACTTCTCCTTTATTTTTAATATACCCAATACAATACCAAGAATAACCAGGCTTGTACCATTTAGGAGGATTCGATTCACTGGGTTTATAATAAATAATACAAAGAGTGGCAACTTTGACGGGTCTTATACTCAACATCATAATTACATCTGCAAGATCTTGCATAGTAGGGATTTTAGTAGTATTGATATTTTGAATTCTTCT